TCGATCGCACGTTAAAGAGCTCCAAATGGTAAATATTTCCGAAGCCCTGCACTTTTTCGGTCCTCATAATCGTATCGTAGTGTTATGACGAAAAAGTGAACAATTAATATTTGTATTATACGCAGTACACGTACTCTTATTAGTTCGCGAGCTTACGCGTGCACTAGCGATAAAGCTGGAATGTGCGATCACTGCTGTAAAAATACATGACGCGTTATGCCGATGATCAGATTACCATAGGCCGATGACACTAATTAGCGCTATTAGAGTACAGCGTGCGTTACTTGTAAACTGAATTACTCAGTTTTCTGGGGGCGCGGGTTCGAATCCCGGCTGCGGCGGCTGCATTTCCGATGGAGGCGGAAATGTTGTAGGCCCGTGTGCTCAGATTTGGGTGCACGTTAAAGAACCCCAGGTGGTCTAAATTTCCGGAGCCCTCCACTACGGCGTCTCTCATAATCATATAGTGGTTTTGAGACGTTAAACCCCACATATCAATCAATCAGTTTTCTGGGCAGAAATTACCTCACTAGTGAGTTTCATTTCTAGCAGAGTGGCTGCCACTTTCTTTGTAGTCACTATACCACGTGAGAATACAATATGTCAGGGACGTTTCTGAGGTGCACATGTCCTAATCGCTCAAGAACATTGCACGTCAGTATCTATATAGATAACGAATGGTTTACACTGGCAGATAAGAAGAATAATAAAAGTAATAGCAGCTTTATGCGCTCTATGTAGGGCAGCCATATGCACAACGTTCCACAAAAAATGTCACTACCGGCGTTGTTGCTGCTGTGCACCGGTAATTCGGTATTGCAAAACGGTCGTTTAAGGACAAGCTGAAAACTGCACACCGGCATTCGCACCACAATGCGAAGGCTTCTTATTGAAGCTCGTATGACTATATGGCAATCAACTAGTTGATCGACAAGTTCTGTAGCGAAGCCAACCAATTTCAGAAATGACAAGCAAGAACCGCTATCAAAGAAATGTCTACAAAGCGGTCCTGTTAAGCAGCTAAATCAAATCCTAATACGTTTTTCGGAAGTAAACTAATTTACCTTAGGACAAAACTTTTCGAGATACCAACAAACATTTCATTAAAAGAAAATTGGGCACATTTTAGAGATTTCCAAGTGGTTACTTTCGTGCCCACGCGTTACCCACTGAATTGTGAGGGTCTATAGCAAACAATTTGCAAATGCATTGATGTATCTCAAGATACGATTGACAAGTATCGTATCGGATACAATTCGTGCGGCAGTATCTTATATCTCTATAACCGATACTTTTCGTCGGAGTATTTTGTGTCATATTGCGATACGATTTCAAAGTATCTTTGCCTGCAGCCCTGGTTCCAAGCTGTTCGCAATTCCCACGGGCTATAGGTGGCGTGCCATGCAATCTAAAATGGCTGTGGGAAGAGGGTCAACCTATGAACTCGAATAGGAAAAAAATAGGACGCACGGACCTACGCCCCGTGCCGCTTTCACCGGATGAACTCTTGATCGTCGAATGAATGTATATTACACCATAGTACCTTTACAAACAATGGGCATTCAGTGCTAAAGTGTTCGCTACCTCATTTTTTTTGCCGCTGTGCAAAGATAGGTGGTGTCAGCTGATCTACCACGTGCATCAACGATGCATTGCGTAAGCCTGCGCCAACGTTGTCCTGTACATGCTACAGAAAACAGCATGAACTAGAATTGACGAATGAAGTGAATGGCTGTCCGAGGTAATTGGTACCGAGCCTGCTTGACGGATTTGTCGTAGTAGTAGGCCACTAGCGAATAGCATGCCAACGCAGCTGAACCGTACCGAATTTTTAACGTGGCGATGATTTGCAAACACATTAGGCCATCGTCATTCTTTGCGCAGTCCGCAACATGGAGTTACTTCTTCAACGAAACACAAGCATTTGACTTTAAGTAGCGCTTGTGTCACAGCCATGCTCAGACTCTAACCGTGCCCAATTCACTGCTATCGGATGTTGCACGTTCTATCTACGCGATCGAAACAAGGCTATCGAAGAGACTCACTCCCGTATGCTTCTCTATTGAAATTGCGAAAATTCGTCGCCCAAAAACGCAGTTCGGATGGTACCGGTGAAGTGCAAAAGTTAGCATAGAGGCGTGGATTGTAGTCGTAACTGTACGTTTCATCGCTCTAACCATTTAGCTTCGCCGGTCGAGCTCGAGCGTGTTGGTGGCATGCATACGGTGTTCCTGATTCGGCTACATGCAATTTGCAAGAGAAACTATGCTTCTATTTTGACTTCGCTGAAGGACATTATACATTAAATATAATGAAATTACTTAGGAGCATGAAAAAAAAAAATCTGGCAGATCCCAAGTAAATGTTGTAGGCCCGTGTACTCAGATTTGGGTGCACGTTAAAGAACCCCAGGTGCTCAAAATTTCCGGAGCCCTCCACTACGGCGTCTCTCATAATCATATGGTGGTTTTGGGACGTTAAACCCCACAAATCAATCATCAGATCCCAAGTACAGTGGGAATCGACGACATGCGAAGCACGAATGAGGAAGGTTGATAAGTCACTTTAGAATCCACACAATGTTACGAGGCGCATGACAGTAGTACATATTAAACCGAAGTGGAAATGTTATACGAACTTAGGTATCTGGATAAGATGCAAGTATGTTGTTCATAGTCCCGTAACGATGGCACCACTAATGGTTGCAATACAAGCCCCAGCTATGGTAGGCATGTAAATTAAGCCACCCATGACTTCCATGTTATGATTATCATGTTTGCGCATGGTATTTGTGTTCATCGTTTTTTCACGTACCCTACTATCAAATTTGGAATAAGTGATGCTAGCGAAACGGTCGTGATCGCGCTGTGAGTGTGGAATGTGGCCATGTTTTGCATGGCTCGCTTACGATGATCATGTTTGGATGTATACACTTTCCTTTGTCGTTCATTCACGTCACGTAATGCCGAATTTAGTATTTGCGAAGCTAGGGAAACGTCCGCGAGCTCATCATGAGCGTGACATGTAGTCGTGTTCTTACATGACACGCATGTCATGATTATCATGTTTGCACCAGTCATTATACCTTCGTCATCCATTCACGTCACATAATGCCAAATTTGGTACATGTAAAGCTAGTGAAACGACAGTTCGCGCACTATGAGCGTAACATGTCGTCATGTTTTGCTTTACACGCTTGTCATGATTAGCATGTTTGGAAGTGTTCGTCGTCTATTCACGTCACGTGATACCAAATTTGATATATGTGGAGCTAGCGAAACGCCCGTAAGCGCACTATGAGCGTAGCATGTAGTCATGTTTTACATGACATGCATATCTAGATTATCATGTTTGGAGTTGTCATTTGTCCACTCATGTCACGTATAATACCAAATTTGGTGTATGTGAAGCTAGCGAAACTACCGCGAGCGCTTCATGAGCATGGCATGTAGTCATGTTCTTACATGACACGCATGTCATGATTATTATGTTTGCACCACTCATGTACATGTATCTTCGTCATCCATTCACGTCACGTAATATGAGATTTGGTATATGTGAAGCTAGCAAAACGGCCGCGAGCGCACCATGAGCCTGGCACGTAGTCATGCTATTACATGACACGCATGTAATTATTATCATGTTTGCACCAGTCATATACCTTCGTCGTCTATTCACGTCACGTAACGCCGAATTTTGTATACCGCAAGCGTATAATGAGCGTGGAATGTAGTCATCTTCATACATGATACACATCTCATGATTATCATATTTGCACCAGTCATATACTATCGTCATCCATTGACGTCCCGTAATAACAAATTTGGTATATGTGAAGCTAGCGAAACGACCACAAGCGCACCATGAGCGTGGCGTGTAGTCATGACTTACATGACATGCATGTCACTATTTCCACTTTAGGACCCGACACTTATGTACGCCACACCCCGCCGCGGTGGTCTGGTGGCTAAGGTACTCGGTGGTTGACTTGCACGCCGCGGTATCTAATCCCAGCTGTGACGGCAGCATTTTCGATGAAGGCGAAAATGCTGCAGGCCCGTGTGCTCAGATTTGGGTGCACGTTCCCGGGTGGTTGAAATTTCCGGAGCCTACCACTACGGCGTCTCTCATAATCATACGGTGGTTTTGGGACGTTAAACCCCACATATCCTCATATCATTATGTTCGCCATGCATTCATGTCATACCATACCAGTTTTGCAATACGCCATGTGAACACAACCACTGCAAGAGCAGCAAGACCATGAAGTATAAATGATGACATTCATGACATACTTGTGACGATTTTGATGTTATGGCTATTCACTTATGCTCGTCATACAGTCATGCTATGGCATACCAATTTTGGTACCGATACCATTATCGAAACGGCCAGGAGAGCATAAAGTTGTAGGCAACTAGATAGATAGATAGATAGATAGATAGATAGATAGATAGATAGATAGATAGATAGATAGATAGATAGATAGAGCGATAGATAGATAGAGCGATAGATAAATAGATAGATAGATAGATAGATAGATAGATAGATAGATAGATAGATAGATAGATAGATAGATAGATAGATAGATAGATAGATAGATAGATAGATAGATAGATAGATAGATAGATAGATAGATAGATAGATAGATACGCTGAAAGTCTCTTAAGTTCACTAAAAATGCTTCGCATTTAAAATCTTGAGTGGTCGACATACATACGAAAATGACCAAAGGCCGATGTTGGGGTAATAAAAGAGCCTCTCGAGAATACTCAAGCGATAAACACAGACGACCACGCGAGGACCTCGAGTCGGGAGGTTACCCGCCACGGCAGCCGTGACGTCTTCACGGCAGCTAAACACCTTTACTTGCAAATAAGCCCGCGTGACCCGCCGTGCAGACGCGTGCGGAGTCGCGCCTTCGTCGCTTTATCGGACGAATGGGCGGCACCTTGACCATGGCCGGAACTCCCATTGGCCCACTCTCGGTCCGCGCGAATCGGTTGTCTCGCTGTGCCGCGCTGCCTTCCGTCACAGGGCTGTTCCACGCGGACGGAGTGTGCTCTGCTGCGCGCGCGCTTCACAAGATCTGCTCCGGCAAAGGTGAGTAGACCAACTGGCACCCATCTTGGCTGCACGCGAACACGCGCTGCAGTCATTGGAGAAATGGCATTTTGTCCGAGGTTACAGTAAGGTCGCAGCACATTCAGGTGTCGAAAGACAACTAATTCAAGGAAATGTGTTGTTCCTATATTCGACAACTCAGTGTGCGACAACTTACTGTCATTTGCGTTACGTTCTCTGCACATGAACACATTTGCAAATGCGTAAAAATGTTGATGTATGTGACTTCCGTAGTGCGAGTTCAGATGACACTGTAACGAACATTGCCTTTCGTGCTCTTATACGTAGTCAGAATAGTGTGTAAGAAAAGCGCACTCACGACGGTGTCCCCCCCCCCTCCCACCACGTGATCTATATACTTTTACCTAAGGTATATAGGCGCCGCTATCTTAAGCTGTTAATATGACGTTTTCTTGTTTTTGTATATGGCGATGTAAATTAATGATTACATGAAAAATTATAAATTATAGGCACCAACGCAATTGTTCTTATGCGTGTGCGTCTACCCCAACACAGTTCACTTAGTCGTGCAAGATGCGAAACACAAATGTTAACAGTCCAACATGGCAGCACTTGAAACCCACTCGCAATGTAGTCTATACAAGTCATCCCGTTTATATTCGGTGTTTTTTGTCAGTGCTACCAGAAGTCTTGAAAGTTTCTTGCATCATGCAACCCTTTGTACCACAAGTTTATTTACTCTAAAAAAGGGACGTTATTTGCACGGAAATCGAAATACCATGGATTGACACCACTTCAAACAGTTGTTACTATAGAGCAGATATTGCAACTCACGAGTTGAAGCCGGTACATTCGCAAGACATATCCACTCATAATAAATTCTTAGGATGACATCAGTTCCGGTATAGTTCGATAAATGTACGATAAAAGACCGTTGTACCATTAAGCATGAATGAAGAAACAGGCTTTTTATAATTGAATCACAATGAAAAATTTATTGACAAAAATACAGGAATATTATACGGGGTTAGTACGCATAGGAAGATTCCTAAGCCGAAGACTACATTGGGACCTCCTGTCATAGACACATCATGCTAATACACAATGTTAGAAGCAACACTAGCAATCTTCGTAAGTATGGATTATATTAAAGATATTTGCAGCAGAACAGTGCTAAATGAAAACAAAATATGTACAATGAAACAAAATGAAGCTACGAATAATGCTAAACACGTTTGCATAAAACAAAACAGAAATAGCAAATCTAAAAGTAATGAACAGCTACAATAGCTATAGGCACCATAAATTGGTCAGATGTAACGGTTATTAGTTATATTTAGTTAATCAGCTATGTCCGCTTACTCAAGTGTCTCGGCTCAATAAATATTCATGTCAAAAAATTAGATGTGATTCCCACAAAGTTGCGCTGTCTATTTCCTATGCACTGTTCTTCCCTTCGATACAAAACTTCATATTGTGCTACGGGGATAACCATCTCCTATGCCGCGGCTGCACGTGCACGGTTGCTGCGGTGTAGTGAAGGCCTCATCGAGTGCCGCTGCGGTGACGCAAGCGGGGTGCACCCTTTTTCCAAGAAAACCATGAAGCGCTTTCGCGTTAAAATATGTTTAAGCTAAAGAAAACTTGCAATAACAGCTTCAAAGATGTTGAGCTGCCAATATTATGCCGTGAGTATGGGTGTTTTTTTTTCCATATTGTAGTAACAACTCCACGGCGTTAAGACTATATCGTAGACAAAAGTGTTTATACATGTATGTAGACACATAGGCTTCCGTGCCACTCCAAAGAAAGTTGAATAAAAAAGTTAATACAGTGCATATTCACAGCTCCCGCGGAGCACCTTTATATGCGACAGCTTGGGCCTCATGCCATATATTCGCACAATGCGTTGCCACAGGAAGCGAAATAGCGTATCAAAAGCAGAGTCGGTAATTTCTTGCACCCGCGAGCATTCACTCACTGATGACCGAAAGAATGTGCTAAGAAACATAGTCTGTACCCGCTGGCAGATATCGAATCATGGTAGACTTATATGTAATGTTAGTTTACCGACTTAATTCTGGCGTTCTCTTGTGAACAATCCTCTATACATATGGCACTGAAGCCATTTGACAGCTTATCAGAACCTACAAACAGTGGTATATATTGCATATGTATATATGTGCAACTCGGCAAAGCATTGAAACAATGGTATTTAACAGTACGTTATGTTGGGCTAGTTGGTACATATTAGGCTGAAATACGTGGCGCAAGGTTGACAAAGAGAAAAAAAAAAGACGAGACAGAAAGAGTGCCAACTCACAACTAAGTTTATTTTCATGAAGCATTCGCAATATATATGCTCTTGGATGACATAAGCAGACCATTTAATTCACCGCACGGGCAGGCATGAACATTTTTCTGATGTAATAACCGATAATTGCAATCATGATATCTGAGAACCACCATCAAACAGTTATGCCTAATGTAAAGACGTAGAAAAAACCAAACACACACAAGCCTGAACAAAAAAAAAATGCGAGGAAAAACCAGCAAAAAAGGACTGACAGACACTTCGTAGCACCCAACTAAAGTACATCTAGATCCAACAGTTGGAATTCACTGTTATGCAACACAACTGAAGGCTGTAGGCGAGGGTCATGTCTGCTGTAAGTTCAGCCCTAAAACGAGAAAAGGACTTCTTTCTTATGATTCTGCACATTCTAAGGTGGTGAAGAGGTCTATAGCTGCTATGTGTTTTCGTTCTGCGCTGTCCAAGTCATGTCAGCACAAAGTGTTTGATAGTTTTTCCATTCAGGTATCGCGGCTCACTGCAGCCGGGTTTCCTTATTCGGTCTTAGTCAGTGTGTCTGAAACATTGCTGCAGAGGCTGAAGGGGGAACGCAGGAGGCCAGAGCCATTGCAAGGACAGAGGAAAAGACCGCATGTTGTACCATACATGCACAAAATCTCCCACAACCTGAAAAAGGTTGCAAATCGGCACCATGTGCCAGCGGCTTTCTCTGCTCCAAATAAGCTTTCAAGGCTCTGTGCCCTCATTTCTTCAAGAGGTGCCAAGGTGGTGTGCGATAAGAAGCACGTAAAGCTGTTCCTGCGTTGTGCTGTGGACACTGTTCATGAAATTCCCCTGAGCTGTGGCAAGGTCTATATAGGCCAGACAGGGCGCTGTACAAATGACCGTCTAAGGGAGCATGCCTTATCAATTAGGAATGGAACAGGGTCTCATTTGCCCTTTCACTGTGCTTCGTGTGGCTGCACGCCGCAGTTCGATCGCACGCGAATAGTTGGAAGGAGCCGAGATGCGCTGGCGCGGGAGTTACTCGAAGCCTTCACATAATGAAGAAAGGTGACTCGTGCGTCAGCGTGCCTTCAGTTGTGTTGCATAACGGTGAATTCCAACTGTTAGATATAGATGTACTTTAGTTGGGTGCTACGAAGTGTCTGTCAGTCCTTTTTTGCTGGTTTTTCCTCGCATTTTTTTTTTGCGCAGGCTTGGGTGTGTTTGGTTTTTTCTACGTCTTTACATTCGGCATATCTGTTTGATGGTGGTTCCCAGATATTATGATTGCAATTATCGGTTATTACATCATAAAAATGTTCATGCCTGCCCGTGCGGTGAATTAAATGGTCTGCGCATGTCATCCAAGAGCCTGTATATTGCGAATGCTTCATGAAAATAAACTTAGTTGTGAGTTGGCGCTCTTTCTGTCTCGTCTTTTTTTTCTCTTTGTCAACCTTGCGCCACGTATTTCAGCCATTGAAACAATGCTTTGTGCAAGTATCGATTTGGGGAAATGTTGCCACTGAATGCAGATGACAGTCGAATGCAGACATTATACTCAAATTCACACTGTACATATTCATCTAATTTTTGAGCCAAAGTTGTGGAAGGTGAGGGAACTCTTCCGTGATCGCTCTACACACTTTTGGAACACGCAGGCACGGCGCAGCACGTTAGGTTAACAGCAAAACCAGGTTGCAGTGGAATAATTTTTTTGTTGCAAATGCTATAGTTTGCCAAAAAAATTAAGTGTGGCTACATAGTGAATACGGTCTACTTCAAAGCGTGTTTCTGTACGAGTGACTTCACATAACTCTGGCCGCTGCGACGCATCCTTTCCTACTACACTAGAGGAGCATCACGCTGGTAGCTGCGTTATTAGTGCGGCTACCCATGGTATGTACTCGAGAGAAAAGTACAGTGTTGTATCATCTGCTTCATGGCGTAGCTGTCACCTACGCCTACTCATTTAGAGATGGCCGATAACGTGGAGTGCAACGAGTGTGCCGTCCATGAGACTATTGAACATCTTTGGGGTTAGTTCCCGACATACGCGAACGAGAGGCTTCACCTCCGCACTGTTCTGCATGAACTGGACGAAAGCGATTCTAATGTTGAGAAGGTATTGAGACCATAGCGCTGCCCATCCTAGTTCTGAGAGGCAACAAAAGTGCTGTTGCGTTTTCTCAAGGACACCGGTCTGATTCATCGTTTGTGATATCAAACGGAAAACTGTTACGCGTCCACCCAGGCAGTGGCTTTTTTCTCCTACTCTATAACTTTCTTTCCCTTTTCCCCAGTGCAGGGTAGCCTTCCGGGCTCAGCCCTGGTTAACGTGCCCGCCTTTCTTCTGTTTGTCTCTCTATCAAGTTCGCCAGATGCACAGCCTGTCTAGCAGGTGTAGCATTACCGCGAGGAAAATTGATTATGTTTACGACGCAGCAAGCGCATGGTAAGCGAGAAAATTGAAGAATTTTTAAAAAAACGAGCGAAATTGAACCGCTGGAAATGAAAGTACTACTGTGTACAGCTTCTCGTGTGATGTTATACAGAGCAAGTACAGAGTTTGAGCCTTGTGTCGATTAAAAAAAACATTTCTTTTTCTTTCTTTAGCCCAAAATTTAGAGTAAAAACTGCATAGAAATACAAACTAGTGCCCCGTGGCACTCTTGGCTGCATGCTGTGTGTGCACTTGTGCGCTTTGTCTTCAATACTGCTTCTTATCGGGATTCTGTGCAGAACACCGGGAAAAATGCCTCTCAAGGAATGATACACTGCAGTGACACCGACAGGATGATAGTATTTCCATCCCGAGGCTTCCGTTCTCCTAAACCAAGTACCATAGCTCACGCAGTACCTATGCGGCTCTATCTCAGCGTCTATACGGTGCATGCTCTGTATAGACACCCGACAATGACCAAAGAACGTGATGAAACGCCGACGCAGGCAGCGTCTGCTACATTACAGCGTAGATGTAGCGCAAAATAAGACGAGGACAAGAAAGTGAACACCACAGGCACTTGTGGTGTTCACTTTCATGTCATCGTCTGTTTTTTTTTTTTTTTGCGCTACAATTGCGCATTAATAAATCAGTACCAACTCGCTCGCCTCTCCATTTAGCGTCTGCTAGTCAACGTTTTTAAATATTGTATCTTAAAACGTTGCCGTTAGTCTACGCTCGCACCCCCCTCTCGCTCTCTCTCTCCTCGAGGCATCCCTCCCCGCGACGTTTACACCCCTTTGCGCACGTGTGGCCCCTTCCGCTCTCTTCTCCTACGCTCCCCCCATCTCTCGCCTCACAACACCGACGCAGGCATCGTCTGCTTGCGAGTCTCTTGATTGAAGACACCGATTGCTCGTGCTGCACAACCGTTCACTGGCCACCTCATGTTGCCCCACCGCGGTGGTATAGTGGCTAAAGTACTCGGCTGCTAGCCCGCGGGTCGTAGAATCGAATCCCTGCTGCGGCGGCTGCATTTCCGATGGAGGCGGAAATGTACGCCCGTGTGCTCAGATTTGGGTGCACGTTGAAGAACCCCAGGTGGTCGAAATTTCCGGAGCCCTTCACTACGGCGTCTCTCATAATCATATGGTGGTTTTGAGACGTTAAATCCCACATATCAATCAATCACTCCATGTTGACCTCCAGTGCCGGTGGCAGATTTCTCCTGTACGTTCTTAAACAATAAAAATACGCAGCATGCGCAATAACCAAAAGCGGACTGCGGTTCTCTGTGTCCAATCCGAATCCTCGGTCTCTCATTGCCCATTAGCAGTGATTGGCGTGTTCAGTAGAAAACACCGGTGCATCACTGCGTGCTTTGCGCCTCCACAGGTTTCTCTCCTACGCAACGCCACGATGAGCCCCTGCGTCGCAGCCACCACCAGTGAAAGCGTTAGCACGCGCTGGTTCGCATCTACACACGGTTCCCTTTAGCAGGAGATGGTGTAACTTTTTTTTTACTTATAAACGCGTGCGCGACCAGTCGCTATCGAATAGGGTCAAAGCTGCAACAAGTACTACTTTTATTTTTCCCGCGTACCTTCAGAAATACTTCACCACCATCCACAGTTGTGCGTTAGTGAGCTGGGACTAGACCACAGCAGATGCGATGCTAAGGAGCTTTCTTCCGACTATAGAGGCATGGGCTGCACGCGTGTCTTCCGAGTTGCGTGGACGTTATGGTTGTGTGTGTGTGTTTTTTTTTAGCAACCGAGGTTTCATCCACAGTAACCTTCTCTCAATGCGTGCGCAGTGTCACAAATTTCGAACACACCGTTGAAGCTACGTGTTGACGATGAGTAGCTTCAGCCACGAGTTCGCATGCTCGCATAAAAGTAGGAGGACGCTCGAGTTTCGATTGCCTCAATAGAAGAACGCGACAGCGTAATCGGACCCTGTTCACATCGTTTTAACGATCAATATAGGCTCGCTTCGCTTCTCAGTGAATAACTCAACCATGCCGCAAGGAAAGAAATGTCTGAGCAATGAACATTGGCTGTTTATAACTATCCTACAATTCCAGCTGCTCGAATTGTAGATGGTCTTGCGGCTGATGACAATTATAAGAGGACTTGTTGTTGGGCTAGTTGGTAGATCATTTCGAAAAGTTAATTAGAGCGCGAAAACTTGACACGATCACTCACACACGCACACACCCATGCATAAAACACACAGCGCTCACTTCCAACTGATTTATTCATAGCTCGAAGGCTTGAATATATACAGGACACATTGTGCGCACACACACCAAAGAAGGCCAACAGCATACATTATCAAAACGTACAGTTAATCAATGTCATCGCCCTAAAAGAAGGCCAACAGCATACATTATCAAAACGTACAGTTAATCAATGTCATCGCTCTAAGGCGATGACATTGATTAACTGTACGTTTTGATAATGTATGCTGTTGGCCTTCTTTGGTGTGTGTGCGCACAATGTGTCCTGTATATATTCAAGCCTTCGAGCTATGAATAAATCAGTTGGAAGTGAGCGCTGTGTGTTTTATGCATGGGTGTGTGCGTGTGTGAGTGATCGTGTCAAGTTTTCGCGCTTGAATTAACTTTTCGAGATGACAATTATGTCGGCGCATGCTTTGTAATGGGAACCACTCAAATTGTAGAAGCCCTGACACCCGGCACTAATCTACGCTTCTTCCACGCAAGATTACACTCACTGAGACGGCTCCTCGCATCCCATGGCGCTCGTCACGGATATTTTAGACTGGCTCTGTAGTACAACCCCTACATGCCACGCACAAGGCCTGGGGGGCACTTGAACGAAAGTTTCTCATTTTAATTTTTTTGCATCTATAATTTTCGATAACAGACCGCGCCCATTTTCCGCTCCCAACCAACGACGCGGACACTAAAACTTCTGCTAAACCAGCTTTTTGATGCTATTGCGTTAAAACTCACTTGTGATGAACGAAAGCTCAGTTTCTAGCCATTTTTACGCCGATAAATAACGTGGTGGTTGTTGTTGGTAAGTAATTACGAATGATTCAGAGCCCATTTCGGCTTAACCCATCCATTGCCATTTGCGAGACATCTCGGGTGACGATACAATCGCAAAGCTCTGCCAATACCGACTTTGTTTTGCCTCTTCAAACCACTCTGATATTTGCGAGACTGCTCTTGTAAAAGCAAGGAAAAAAAATAATTCGGGTGAGTCCTACCGTCTATTGAAAAAATATGTACACAAATATTAAACTATTAACCCGTTATTAAACTCCCTTGCACTTGTATTGAAAATTTACCCAGCAGAGGGAGCACCTGCTTGCACATAAGCGCCGGCTCGTGTCTTTTTGCCAGCGCCTCAGCTGCGCAGCCATGACGAGTCAGCGTGCCACGCGCGAGCGCTATTTGACTGAAGAAAAGTCAGGGGCTCTTGACTGAGTCAGACTCCGAATCAAATGAATAATTGGTGTGTCAGAGATTCTAAAATAATGAGTAATTATTTATTTAATTATATTATATTAGTTGTTTTGTTAACAAGTTTATTGCTTGTAACGATAGATACTTTGGTGAAATAATCCCCTACAAAAATGTTTAGATCTACTTAAAAGCATTTTACTACATTGCATAACGCGCAGAAAAGAAAAAGAAAAAGCAGGTGTAGATTGGCTGCTGTGCTTGCGCAGCTGAGCATCACCCGTCATTTTTATTTTGACTTAGCCTAAGCCTATTTTACCACTTACCAGGCAGGAGATCGCCGCTCCAGTGTGAGCCTGCCGAACGTAACGCCGAGGCAAAATGGTCACGAAAGTGGCAGATCAATTTGTATGACGTCACGGATGACATGCGTCAGCCCATAAAATTAACGGAATTGGGGGGGGGGGGGGGTGAACACTGTCGTAGTTTCGTTGGTAGAGTGTCGAACGCGTTATTCGAAGGTCACATGTTCGGTGCCTGCCAGCAGCAAGCAATCTGGTTCAATAAAACATGCTGCTGGGCTTGTCCATGTCTGCCGTGTCCTTGTGTTACCTACCAAGGCAAGTTACCGTTTTGTCCACTTTACATTCGTCACATTTGTACCATAATTACCACAAATAACCTCCCCCTACACCTCCATTTGCATTATTGCCAGTTAGTTCTTTATCAATATTTGGGCAATGTTATTGTGGTCGATACACCTTATAAGACTGTCTTGAGGAAGCATATGTACTGGTTTTACACCTAGAGGTTAAGGCGAGGAGGATGAAGAAGTCATTAGCACCATCATCATCAGCCTGACTATACGTCCAGTGCAGGACGAAAACTGCTCCCATGTTCCGCCAGTCAACTTGGTCCTGTGCTTGCTGCTGCCTTTTTACACCCGCACACTGCTTAATCTCATCTGCCCACCTAATCTTCTGTCTCCCTCTAACCCGCTTGCATTATCTGGGAATACAGTTAGTTACCCTTAGTGGCCAGCGGACTTCCTGTCTACGCACTACATGCCCGGCCCATGTCCATTTCCTCTTCTTGATTTCAACTATGATATCCTTAACCCCCGTTTGTCCCCTAATCCACTCTGCTCTCTTCTTGTCTCTTAAGGTTACACCTACCATTTTTCTTTCCATTGCTCGCTGCGTCGTCCTCAATTTAAGCTGAACCCTGTTTGTAAGTTTCCAGGTTTCTGCTCCGTAGCTAAGTACCGGCAAGATACAGCTGTTATATACCTTCCTCTTGAGGGATAGTGGCAATCTGCCTGTCATAATTTGAGAGTGCTTGCCGAATGTGCTCCACCCCATTCTTATTCTTCTAGTTACTTCAATCTCGTGGTTCGGCTCCGCGGTTATGGAAGAAAAAAAATATTCTGGGAGGGAATTTTCGCTCCCAGAATATGCGCGAGCGTCGACGCCAAACGCTCGTACCCATCGCAATATGTGCAGCAGGAGCGTGGATGTGCATGCATGCAGGTGCAGCCGAAGCCGATCGGAAAGGCGCTGAGGGATCCGGTTCGGCTCAGGTGACAAGAACGGATGAAGGTGTCGGTGCGAGTACGCGGCGAGTGGCTCGCCGTGCCATGCCGCGACGGCCGTCAGACTGTGCGCTGGCTGGGCGAGGAGGCACTGCGTCGCTACTTGAAGCTCAAGCCATCATCCTTCATGGACGGCCGCACCGAAAAGGTCTACCAGGTTCGCAAGACACGCGGCGGCGCTATTATCGACGGAGACGACGTCATCAAGAATGTCCTTGACGACAATGAGTTCCTCTCTGTCGGTGAGCAGTCTTTTTTTTTTTTTTGACCGAGAAATAGTCGATGGAGTGGCAGGTACATGCATGTTACACAAGAAGATCGGCGAACCAAGGGTGTCATTAAAGATCTGCCACCGGGGTGTTACACTTCACACTTACAAATAAGCACTGCATCACATTTTTACGGCTTTATTCAGCCTAAGAAGTGAAAGAGAAACCAATGGTCACTTTTCCGATTATTGCTGGTTCGATCGGAAGCAGAAGTAATTTTGTCCCAATGACAGGCCAACTAGCCTCAGGATGATCATTTTTATCAACGCACATATGGCTCTCGCGCAGCGGCTGCGCACAGAAAGCTCTCAAATAAGAGCTAGCTGCATCATTAGACACGACTCAGCAGTTCAGTGAAGGGTAAATAATAGAAGAGTGGGCGTTCGTGTCGTCAGCATGTATGCGTTCACGGATGTGTGCTGTTGAACAATTCAAGGTGAGGTAAAAGGTCTGTAGTGCGACAGACAATAATTGTTCACTTGGTAAATGCTGAGTGGCTTGTACACTTAATGCGTGAGGCACCTGCACGCACCCAAAATAGCCCCTTTTCTTACACCTCTCTCCCCACTTTTCTTATTTCTTTAATAACGCATGGTTCTGAAGTGGCTGCTACCTTGTGAGTTACGAGAGCCATGACTGCTTGGAAGACAGCAAACGCGCTCTAATGAAAGTGACCAGTACACGGTGTGGGGTCTCGAAATGGCGGGCGAGCGCCGCGCTCTTGGAGTGAAAGGACACAGTAGACACGGCCGGAACAAACCAGACGATTCACACATTTATTTAACTAATTTAGAACGACGATATCGTCCGCCAAATTATAATAATATCAATCGTGATCAACATGCTAACACATCCTTACACAATATTAAACAACATGACAAACAAGGCGGTGTCGCTAACGCCTGACTCACCACGTGGACCCACCGCAGACGGCCCGTGGTGCCGTCCACGGCAGACTGGAGGCAACCATCCGCGCTACCACCCCACGCAAAAAGAGACCAGCCTATTTCTTGCACGCCACCAGCAAGGCTTGCCGCCGTTGGCGCTGTACCATGATGATGATGATAGTGGTGATCAACGCTCACGAACATAACGCCACCTGCCGCTCAATAGCTGTGATCCGAAAATACGGCTTCTGCGCGAGACACGTGCGCCACGCGGCGCAAACAACTCTACTGGGGGTGTCAGCACCCTCACAAAGAGAACCTCTGGCAACACCGAAAAGTTGACATTATATGACAGTACTCGAGGTAATAACGTGCCAACACTTCGGAAAAAAAGACATATTCACATAAAAATATTTTTTTTTTATTATGGATGTTAGTACCCCTGTACCAAGCACCGAAGACGTGAAGTGATTATTATTGCATGATACCTGACACACCTTCCGTTAGCAAGAGACAAAGTAATGGTGGAATATGACCATGAGAGGCAATGAGGGATCAGAAAAAATATTAAAATAGAAGCACTCGGTGGAGTTTTAAGTTAACTGAAGAACCAGCCGACCCTCATTTTTGAAGAACCAGCTGACCCTCGTTTTTTTTTTTTGCTTTCCGTACTTTTCGTTTCGAAATGCTCAAGCGCAGAAGCGAGTAATTTGAGCTTTTTGACAATGTAGTGCAATGCTTTCTTGCAACTATTTCGAATTTCTTGTAAGTAGATGCCTGTGTATGCTAAAAAGCAAGATTTGCGCTATACTTGTCTGCTCAAGGATATTATCTGCGTTTACACTGTTTTGTGTATTATTAAAGCTGCATGTGTTTAAGAGACGTTTACTTCTTTGTGTGGAGTGCCTATATGTATTTTCTTTCGGACAACATCGTACAAAATAGTTTAAGTAGACGTGCCATAGAAGCGATCTAGTTGCGTCAGCTTCTTTCGTTCACTTGTAGCATCTTGCCATAACACCGAGCGCTTTCAAGAAGACGCGGTGCATATTTAACGTTGCAAGGTAGTGTTTCACTTCATTAATATTTTTAACGCAGTTCTAGAGACGGACCGACCTTCACCAGTTACGGGCCCTGCGGAAATAACTTACGTCCCGGAGCAAGTGTATCCTTTTCATTGTTTGACATACGCTAAAACAGGTAATGGTGTGGTCGTACGTATTCATGACACTTTCCAGGGCGCAATCTCACAGCCAGTGTATTTTTGCTTTAGTGATAAACTTCAATCCACATTGAATCCGGAAACAAGCGAGAAACGCTTGAATGTCAAACGAACCCAACGAATGCAGAGCAGCGATATATCGAACAGATCTCTGCTTCTTCACGTGGTGAATCAATTGGTTATATCACCATTTAGAGAAGTTGCACCGAGCTAAGTTTTTTAAAAATTATACTTGAATCGAAGATATAGACGAGGGCCAGTATTTCGGGAAAAGGTGCATGCATGTCCAGCTATCACTGAGCAGTGCACCCGCGTTCCGCCGTAACTCATGGGCATTGTGGCAAAATATATTCAGATGTCCTAGGATTCTACGCGTTCTGTGGCTGGGTGATGGAATTGTACCAGAATAGTTCTAGAGGGTCTCTAGACTATACACCACTGCTGTGAGTAAATTTTACTTAAAATAAAGCTGTCTCTATATATGATTTGTTTCGGTTATTTGCCATTTAAATACGGCGACGCCAGTGGTCGCCACCGAGAATAGGCGCGATGCACACCTCTGTCCCGAAATCCTGGGAATGGTTGTACCAAACACTTTTGTATGCACACGCAATGAACATGAACCTTGAATAGTCTTCACGCAGATTCTCCAAGTGGCAGGGCTACGTAGAGTAAACTAGAGTCAGTATATATGGCTCATTTAGGTGTCCTTAGTAGCCATCACAGTAACTTGAGAGCAACGTACAGTCCTTTTATTCTTCATCCCTGTGCTGACCTGTTGAGGTGTCCTCGTAAGGATAGACACTTACGGGTCGGCACTTCTCTCTTCTTTTCTTCTGTTATCCACATATATATATCCTGTAAAAAATAACGAAATTCCTTCTTTTAGTTACTACTGAAAAACCTAATCTCGGTCTTGCCGGAGCACTTAGTTGGATGATTTCCAGGAGACGCGACAGCCACAACATCAATGCATAGCTCTGCGCTAACTTTTGGGAGACCCTCTAATGAGGCTTGGAAGAACATGGTTCAGCAAGCACAAATATTGTACAAATATTGAAGTTTTCGAGTGGTATAACATGAAAGTATTATAAAAATACTTAAAAAATGATGATGATGATATGTGGCGTTTAACGTCACAAAACTACCATATTACTATGAGGAACGCCGTAGTGAAGGGCCCTGAAAATTTCTAGCGCCTGAGATTCTTTAACGTGCACCCAAATCTGAGCACACGGGCCAACAGGATTTTCTCCTCCATCAAAAATGCAGCCGCCGCAGTCGGAATTCAATGCCGCGACCTGTGGGTCAGCAGCCGAGTACGTTAGCCCCTAAACGACCGCAGCGGGGCGTCAAATAATAAATGAAAAGCGATAATTTTCCAATTTCCGAAGCGATATTAAACGCAGAGTACGTAAGTTTGATATGATACGCAAGCTTATATAAGTCGAGACATGTATTTACAATCTGTTTCACACTTAGGGTAAATCTTGGCACGCATAAATCGCGGTGCGGCCGGCGCTGTAGTCAAGTGCCAGCTATAGCTCGCGCTTGCGCAGACACTTGAAAGGCCATAGTGTGAAACCATGTAATCTGCTACAGTGGCACGCGAGTACAGCGTTGGCCGCACCACGTGTTTTGCAATCCGAGACTTCCCCCAAGTGTGAAACAGACTGTACATACAACACCACTCACGGTTATACGCCCAACTGAGAAACTATCACATAATAAACGACTGCCTTAAATTAACCGAACCAACGTACCAATGATACATTACTGAAACATGCTAACGATGAACATACAGTGTCAAATTCTTTGGAGGACACACGTGTGCTACTGTACCGCACATTTTCAAGATATGTTAGAATAACGAAATTGGTGAAATGTTAAATCACAGCAATAAGCCATTCTATCGAGTGGCTGCAAATTTCTAAGTGAAAGGTGCATGCCCCAGCGTTCCCTATGAAACTCCTTCGTTGCCTCGAGAATGCAGGCTCGATTGCCAAAAGTCGCATATTACTGGGGGGCGAAATGAAAAAAAAAAAAAACATCCGTGCACTTAAGTGGACGTTAAGGAGGTCCACGTGGTCAAAACTAATACGCAGCAAAGCAGTACTCTATGCCGCACACTCATATTATGGTGTTGGCTCGCAAAACCCTGAATAAGAGAAACACTTGCCCCTGAGCAACAAAAGGAGCTCTCCTGAAGACGACTCATTCGAAACAGTCCTCGCATCCATCGATATGCCTCCTTCGGGAATTGAATAGCTGCTGCTACGCCTGGCATTATTTGGAAGAAACAAACATTTGACAACTTCGAACAGTGAATTTTCGGAATGTATACAGATAGAATATCAGGGACTGTATATTAGATATTTGAAATATTTCCACTTTCAGAATGTATGGTCATGAAGCATTGTCGAGAAGCCGAGCATTTGACTGACATTAAAAGTGACGGGAAATATTAAAAAAAGGCCAGAGATTCAGCGCAACACAATCATCTCATAGTTGGCTGCTTGTCAGCGTCACATTTTTCTGCAATTGTGAAATCTGTGAGACCGTTATGTATACTGTAAAATAAAAATCACAGCCTACTACACGAAAGACATGAGATCTCTCAATTAACTTATTGATGGGCCATGACATCCCTTGCAATGATTCAGAGAAATCGATAAAGGGAATATAAAAAGTGTTCTTAGAAAACTGACGAACGTATACAACTTTAGTAAAAAACCTGAAGTGTTCGCACGTTTGCGTTAAATTCCCATGTCAGCGATATATACTGTCGAGTGTCGTGAGAATTCGCCTTCAAACGAAGCAACAAAGTGCTGGCGAGATCACGGTTCGACCATAATAAATAAAAAATGAGCGACAACCATTTAAAACAAGGAATTCTAGTGAAGTGTACTGTAAAGCAGCTCTAAATTTTCATGGGACAAGAGAAAAGACAGAACAAGCGTCAGTATACATTAGTACGCTAGTCTCTCTTTTTGTTCGTGAAATACTTGCGCTGCAGTATACCTTGCGCTGCAGCAACATATCTTGTTAAACAAGGACAATCTAGATAGAATATCTATCATTATTTTTTATACTACAGAAATTCAGTGCACCATTAATATCTGACTGACTGACAAACAGTGAGCGAATGCACCTATACGTTAACGAAACCACACTGCGGTGCATTGCTGAGCTCAAGATCACACGTTCGATTTCCTGCTGGGATGATCACATTGCGATGGTACTTAAATGCAAGAACGCTCGCCTATACTTCAATTTATTTGCACGTTAAAGAACTCCGGCAGATTAACATTACTACATCGTATACCCCACTACAGCACGACTCATAAAATCGTGGCTTTGGCAGGCGTAAAGCTCAATTGTATTCGGTAATTTACACGCAAGTAGTAATATACGCTCGCGCCGAGAAATACATGGCAGTATACCGCCATTATAAAAAGTTGTGTGGGCAGTTCTTGCTGCGCTATCACGTGAGACTCTGCCATCGTATACCAGTGTGGAAATTATCTGGCAAAACAGCCAACATATTTCTACTCCTAAACACAACCATCATATAAATACTACCTGTGCTCCGCCGCGGTGGTCTAGCGGCTAAGGTACTCAGCCGCTCACCCGTAGGTCGCGGAATCGAATCCCGGCTGCGGCGGCTGTATTTTGGATGGAGGCGAAAATTCTGCATAGGCCTGTGTGCTCAGATTTGGGTGCACGTCAAAGAACCCTAGGTGGTCGAAATTTCCGGAGCCCTCCACTACGACGTCTCTCATAATCATATGATGGTTTTGGGACGTTAAACCCAACATATCGACTAAATACAACCTGTCGACGTGTGCGTTGCTTGTTTCCCCGGGCGAGGTGGCCGTTATTTGAAAGGACAAGTGTCATCAAGATATGGCACCTATATATGCAAATCACTCTGTTTCTTGTTGAAAGGCAACCTGTGTCAAGCTTACTCATGCTTGCTTCTGTGAGCAGCTGAAATAGTGGCAGTTGTCGCTGGGCGTCACCGAGAAGACTGTTTTGACATTAATTCGTTAATTTCGGAATGCATGTACAGGGTGCTTCGGCATAAAAAACAATCAATAAAAAGTTAAACATGAGCGCTACACGTCTCCAATTAGCGCAGTATTGTTCTGAGCCACATAGAGCCCGTCAAAATATTTTTTAATCCACCAAGACGGCAGTTAATGAACTTTTTAAATAAAGACTCCATAAAGAAAAAAAATCAATGCTAAGCTTGTTGCGCCTAATCAGAAATAATAAAATTTTCAATCTGCGGTAAGATGACCGAACTGCTTAATTTGTCCTAGTCTTTTTTTTTCACGCTTCGTGTAAAGTGCGCGAAATTAAAAAAAAAAATACCACGTGATTGCTGATAACGCACGCCGTTTTTAGTGCCCTAAAATGTAAATTCAAGAAATTACGAGAAACTGCAGCTAACGCACGAAGGTCGCTTGAACAGACTATCAGCGACTACGATGAACGATAAGCTATGGAAGGGATGATACTGATAAAAAAAAGAGAAAAAGAAAACTTTCGACGAATAGGCGGCCGCCACGTGCAAATGCGATACGAGAGCGGAGGCAGCACTGGACACAGCGCCGGTATTTTTTTACTTTTTTTTTCAGACTAACGATAAACGTGACGGAGGGGAAGAGGGTGCAAGCTCATTGATGGCCCAAAAAGATTTTTAAACGGCGCAGTACTGAAACATTTCAAACAAAAGATATATTCAGATGGTAATGTAGTATTCCTGCGATTTTAAACATTGGCTGAGAAAGCAACTCAGTCAGCATTGAAAGGATATCAGAAGACGGCTGCTAAATTTCCTTCACATTCAAAACCACAGCCCTGGCAAGTTCAAGCCACCAACACAGGTATGTGAGTCATTTTTTATGCGTATCTGACGATTTGCTCAATTAATCAACCAGATGTGAATGAGCAAAACGAGCGAAGTGCTTTATTTCAAGTGGGGTCCTTTAACGGAGGAAGTGGCGTTTCACATGGGTTATTCTATGCATATTTTGGTACCATTCAGTCTGCGTGGGCCCGTTATCAACTTTTCTGATGCGCCCATTTCCTCTCGCGTATACTTTTTCAGATGATCACTATAGATGGAAACAACCTCACTCCCGGAGTCCTTCTTGAACTTGGCAAGGGAAATTACAAGATTCAGGTGCGTATATAATTATGCTTATTTTCAGTTGTGCACTTCTTGCATCGCAGGAGGTTGGGACAGTTGAGTGTCGTATTATAGATATCAGTTGTCATTCATTGCTGTTTTTTTTTGTATTCGCAGCTGAGCAGCGACTCCATCGAAAGAGTCAGAATGGCCAGAGAAATGCTGGAGGCAATTCTCAAAGAAAATAAAGGTAAGCTGATGGCTGCAGCTAAACAACAAAAAAAAAAAAAACAAGAGAAAAGTGGCGATTCGTGCTAAATAAATTTCGGATCAGATTTTGAGTGTTAACGGATTGCCTGTCTCGTATAAGTAGCTTTTAATCAACTCATGGTAATTGTTGTGGAATACAAATGTCTTGGGTACTTGCCAAAGGAATATGTGTTCAGTCACCGTTGCAAAGCAGTGTACGCAGAGTAAAGTAAGAGAGCATTATCCTTTATTATACCCTATGACTGCATTGTCTAAACGTAGCTGGTGCAGCAGAAATACATATGCGTTGTCACAGAAGAGTGCATGGAGGTCGAGCCTTTGCGAAGAATGTCTTCAAACCACTCGAGTTCACGCAATTTCTTTTTCGGCCTCACTCCGTGAAAGATTCAGAGCGCACAGTCATGCAAGAATACCCCGCAGCACCTAATAAAATGCAATACTGTTCTAAATCAAATACCATATTACGCTCAAGGAAAACGGCATTCGACGAATTTTTTTTCTACACAACGGAGTCAGGAAGTATGCGAAGTCTGTACACTATCACTGTTTTTTTTTCAGTTGCATACGGAATAAACACGGGCTTTGGAAAATTTGCCCGAGTAGTTATCCCTGACGACAGCCTCAAGTAAGTAGGCGACAAGGCTTCTTTCTCTTTGGAACTTGAATTTTAAGACGCAATGCGAAAATTCTTACAAGTATTTTGTTTCGTCTGCCCTAGGGAGCTGCAAGAAAACTTAGTTCGGTCACATGCAGCAGGTACGATCATGCTTTTCACTTTCATATAGTTCTCACTGTTGTGCATTCAATATACGCATACTGACATGTTTATTAAAACATGTTTAGAGCAGCTTCCACCAACTCTGTTATTAGACACTTCTTAATATTTTTCTTTTGCAGTGCTACTTAATTTCACCTTTCTTTTGACTTGCCTTATGCAGATAAAGTTTAGCTGTGAATAATCAGGGGCTTGACCACGCGTAGTCATGTTCATGGCTGCAAAACAGGACTTAATTAAAAAAAACTGAATGACCATAACAAAGAAGCGTTCAATTGAATAAAATTTCTATCTCCTTCCACGTTTTTTTAAATTTTTTTCTACCGTGGAGAAGCATATTCGCGGATTCGCGCCTGACACCATTGAATGCACGCTGAAATTTCAAAGGCATGCAAGCCAAGCCTCGGCTATTCGTGAAGCTTTTGTCCGATACTGTGCATCCAAGCCCGCTAGATGCTTACATCAAACAAAGGCTTGTATCTGAGCGCAACCACCAACCAATGTGAAGGGTTGAAAACGCGGACTGTGTCTGCCACAGCCATTGATTGGCATTGGAAGCTATTGACTGGCATATCTATAGAGAAACGCGAAAGTGCATAGAAGTCATCCTGAGGTATAATGTAGTCGAGCTGGCTACTCTATACTCAGGGGGAAGAAAAACGGAGGGGTATATGAGGAATCACGGCGAGAATACGCAGTAAAATACCACTACATACAAGATATAAAATAAGTGCTTGCATTGGTCCTGATTACTTTTAATCCTCTGAACATTTGCCAAAAGGTCAACCCACTACAAACAATGGCCATCATTTTAATACGATAGCGTTAAAAAGCTCGTTTCGCAGATATTCTGGTGTCGGCGTTGGCGTCGTTGATTGTGAAAAAAAAAAACATCATCATCTTGTGCGTCAACGAAAAATCAACAACGATGCATAGAAATAAAGAATAAACAGTTCCTGGGTCAGACAGGGGATCGAACCACGGTCGTTTCAGTGGCAAGCGGATGGTATACCACACAGCCACGCGTTTGTTTTTAAATGAAGTGAAAATAACTTCCCCTGCTTGTTAATACAGTGAAACTAACTTTCATGTTTTACAAACACACCAGTCCTGTTTACAGGCTTCGCAATTCAGCCAAAAATATTGCAGTAATAATGCGTGGTGCAAGCGTACATTGCCATCAGACGGCATAACATGTGATTATCATAATGACTTCATCGTTTAAAGCCAGTAACCCACTACAAATAGCACACACGCTACTGCGCCTGTTTCCTTAAGGCCACGTAGTGGGTGCATGTTCGAAAAGGTTTCATGCACTAAGTGTATGAAGTATGCACTTGAAACAGAATATCACTATCTATAGTTCAACTCTTAAAAGCAAAGCTTATGATTCCCCCAATTTTTAAATGTCGTTGTGCCTGCAAAACAAACTTACCGTGTGGCTAACGAGAAAGTGCAGGCAGCCATTAGACTAACATTTGAAATGGACACAAAACACACACACACACACACACACACACAACACACACACCAACACACACACGCACACACACACGGCACACACACGCACACGCACACACACACACGCACACGCACACACACACACACACACACACACACACACACACACACACACACACACACACACACACACACGCAAATTATGAAAGGCTTCTGGCCCGAAAGAGTCCACATGTGAAGATGAAAATGTATTTCTTAGCCCCTGCCGTGCTTTGTTTTTTCACCATGTGGCTGATTTAGCATAAGGTTTCGCGGTCCTCAGTTCTGTCTCTTTTTTAGACTGCCCATAAAACTAGACAAAAAAAAAACTACGACGGGGAGCTAACAAACAGCGCGTACTACAAGATTCCTGCATACATTGTTTGAACCTCATAGTCCACGTCTTTTCCGCTCTCCTCCCATTTCACCATCCCTAAATGACAATGGACTGTAGTGCAAACCGCATTGCAAACGCATCGGCCCTTTCGGCGAAGTAAAACTGAGTTTACTGTTTAAAAGTCGGTGGACATTTCAACAATGCGCGCGTAAGGTATTCAATTAGGAACATGCGAAGTGTCACCGCACCCCCTTCCCACACTCCCCTGTTGGCTACTCGACCCCTTTTCGCTGATGGCTCCTGTGTGCATTATGGTGCATATCTACTTGCTTCATAAGCTTGGCAATAATAATAATAATAATAATAATAATAATAATAATAATAATAATAATAATAATAATAATAATAATAATAATAATATAATAATAATAATAATAATAATAATAATAATAATAATAATAATAATAATAATAGATGAAAGTACATGGTAACCTTGCGAACATTCACTGAGGGCTCACGAAATCATAACGGTGGGTGTAGTATGGTTATGCAACATTTTTATGCTTCCGCCTGTACTAAACATGCCAAAAGCGGCAGTGCACCTGCAAAAAAGTAGAGGTCCCGCCTAGCATAAATTGGACACACATAAACCAGTGCTTACTAAAGTGGCAGTCGTATTGGTTTTAAACACGTGAAGAAGCCTCGTAACGAAGTTCTCGGCATACACGAGTGCCTTGCTGCTCGCCTCGTTAGCAGCCATCCTTGCCTAAACGAAATGCGCACTACAGGCACGAAATCCTGCATGCTGTTTCTATGATGCTATACGTTTGTGCTAGCAGGTTTTCTTGATTCTTTTTTTTTTTCTGATCACAACCAGCAACCGTACGAAACTGGTAATTGCAAAAGTGCAGCGATGATGTGTGCCGCTATGTCGTGTAATGAAAAGTGATTCAGTAGAATATCGCGGTTGCAGTTTTTTCTTGAAACTAAAAACGTTTTCCTCCTACACTGATATAGGTGTGAGTATATCCGCGCGTTCACATGATCTAAAAGGAGCTTTCCCTACGAATTGTTGCAAACGTATTGTAATGCCGTATCGTTCAGCGCGTGGCACCACTCTATAGTGCGTCCAGTCGTAGCGACAACACGAATGCATCTTTTCCATGACCAGGGGTGGGCAACCCTTTGTCTCCGGAGAAGACGCGTATGCTGCTCGCCCTTCGCATCAACGTCCTCTCCAAGGGATACAGTGGCGTATCCTTGGAATGTCTGCAGCAACTTGTGGACGCCTTTAATGGTGAGTGCATATTCGTTATTTTCGCTACTTCTGTACTGCATGAGTCAGTCGTCGGCCATACTAAGTCGGGTTCTTGGACTCATGTGTCATAATATTCGTGCTAGCTGTTGATGAAAAGAGCGCGATGTTTGAACCAGCTGAGCCTATTGGTCATCACGAACGCGGAAACAATTGATGCCAACATGTGTGGGTTGGCAACCGTTCCCCCTAAGAGCACCATATTCTAAATTACGCGAACTTTTCCTTATATATGATGGTAATATCCTGGGAATGCAACACATGACTTCTTAAATTCCATCATTTTTTCCCAAATATTATAAGAAAGATGAAGCAATATTTATAGATAATGGGGTTGACTGTACCAGAATCGGGCGTGCTACAAATCTTTTTGTTTGTTTTGTTTTTTCTGTTCATCACAATGGCTTGTTTAAACTTAGACATGCATCTATAGTCAGTTAGAACCTAAAAATAAATACACGCTCTACCCCCAGTACTGCAGCACACCTGTAATTCATCTGTGCTTCAGAGCAATGCTAGGCGATTTTCGTTCTAACCATAAGCACATTCTCGCTGCAGATGCAAATACTACAACTACTATGAATTGAAAGTTGATCGCTCCTTGTCAAATCGTTACGTTTCACTGAACAATTAAGTTGGAATTTTTGATAAAAATTTCCAGGCAGTAAGTGAGTGAAGTAACTTTATAGGTCCACAATAGACGCGAGTTAACTCAGCGTCACCTGGCTAGGTCCACTCGTGGACGGTCAGGTTAAACCTGACCACTATCGCGCGGGCCCTCTGGACGACCAGGATTTGAGTGGTGAGGTCCTGGGCCTTAATCAGCTTGTTAATTTCTTCTTGTTGAAAGGGGGACCTGCAAAGGCACAGCCCTACAGGCCATGCTCGAAGTCCGCATAACCGCCACGCAAGGGGCAATCTAGGCTTGATAACTGTTCGAGTTCTATTGAGTGCATTGCCGCAGGGCTCGGGTACGTTGTTGTTTGGAGTTTTATACGAAAAAACTAGCGTAATAAACACTAACTTGTACGCACAGGTGATATGCCTGAAATCCTAGAAATATACCGGACGTACCGTAAATTACAGTTATGCCAACCCTAAATCTAGACATGTTCTACCTCTTCCAGGAATTTGCTTCTTTTTTGTTGATTCTAGGGATTTTTGTAAAACTCTGGAAATGTGACATTACTCGGCCACTATTAAAGGCATTACTTAGTAATCACGCCCTTTCAACTGAAAAGGCTGTAAATAACGTTGGTTGGTTAGTTGGGTTAATTGGTGCAAAAGCAACTTAGGCTATGATGCGGCAGCCACAGCTGTAAATAACGATAATTTTGGCTATTTTGTGTTTTTTCTATTTAGGACAGTCTTGATGTTCTACTGGGCCAAGTGAAAGGGATAGCAGTTGTGTGTAAAGCGAGATAATTGTATTCTGTATACTGTGGGAAATGAAACTGTTGTCACAGGAGTTAAGCATGCACGCGCGCATCATCAGTGCCTTGAGGGATTGCTACTCTGTGAAACAGGATAAATTTTTCTTGTAGTGTACAAACAAAAAAAACGCCAAGTTTACGCTCATTGCATGCCTTCGACAAGCAATGCCTCCATGTGAAATAACTTAATTAGAAGACTTATTGAGGAACAAAGCAAAATTATAGGAGCGAAGCTTGAGTAACAAGTACGGGTTCAATAATTTGGAAACAGCGGGTCGAAAAGCGACAAGAAGACTTGTTCTGGTGTTTTCAGTTTCGCCGTTGTGCCCTTTACATGAGAGCGCAAAAGTGACGAAAGTATTTTGCCACTTTTGGAGAGTTGATTGAAAGTGCAGAGGAAAGGCGCATCTATCAGCTAGTAAAAAAGGGATCACGTAGATTGACTTAAAATATTGGAACCATAGCTACTGTTGTATTTGTAACTACTGTAGTAATTACAAATATGTAAAATTAAGCGTGAACTAGCACCTCAGAAGCTGCAAGTATGAGAAATGTGCTACAGACTTGCAGGTGACTCGGATGATCACGAGCATCGACATCTTCAGTGCGAGTGCGAAGTGAACTTGACAGAAAACTATGTCTCTGGGCGCACCTGGTGCCATCTACGAACACTCCACACATGGTTTTCCCCTAACGTCACAGACAGCTTCTGTGCGTTGGGTAGCCTAAGATGGCGGCAATCATGTGTGCCAGGGCAAGGGAGGGCACAGATTAGTTCGGTCGCCGCGATCATCTGCTCGCCATCTGCGTCGCGGGGGAGCACAAGGAAACGCGAAGGGCACCGGAACTAATCTGATGTTACCGTTTCTTGCTACGCAAGTTCTATATACTGCACCTCAACGAGCTGGTAGCCTAAAAGGGAGGCCTCTGCGAAGTCACTGCAAACTATGTTACACCAGAGAACATATAGAAAGAAGACTTTAAAGAGTAGCTGGTATGTTTATTTTAGTGTTAGCAAGATCCAGAAGAACTTGGCCACAGAGCCCACAGTTTTAATACTTAGTTAAAAGTCAATTAGCCTAAATAATGACATTAAAAAGATAATCTAGAGATTTTTCTAGTAGCCTATGGAACTTTCGAGGGTCAATATAGAGATAAAACGTTGTCTTTGGTTGGCATCATCGCGTAAATAACCAACTGCGATTCAGTACGAGTCGTCGCCCATAACGGACAGAAGAAGACGAAGACCGTGCGATCCCGTTGACGTCCCTGCGTGTTCCAGGTCAGGTACGTCCACCTTATCTAGCCATGGCACCTTAAACGTCGTGGAAACTTTCGAATGCGCAGGCCTTCAACGTTCTTGTTTCTGCGGGAAAAAGTCCGGAGAGCGTAGTCGACGCGACGACCTCAATAGTTGGCCTCTCAGAGGTACACTGCGTTCAGCACATGAGATGCATGAGATTCTCAGTCACCGTCAAGAGCACGGCTTCCATGACTCTCATGACTTTCATCGTCGACGCTGGCTACCTGACCATCAGTGGCGAGCGTATTCCCGTCGTTCCTGTCGGCCAGCTGGTAACTAACGTTGCTTGCCTATTCTTACCGTCCTTCGTCCCCAACGAAGTACTCGCCGCCCAGGCTTCGTCTCCATACGGCAAGGTATTGTCTGTGAACGCTGGCTTCATGAGCGCTCGACGCAGAGTCCTCACAGACACACGTACGTTATGTCCGGATTGAAATGAGTCCCACAAATCCCTACCCCAACTATCTTCGAGTTTCCGGTCATCCAGTCATCTTTTACTACCGCGGTCTACAACGTGTTTGTCGTCGGTGTGACTCCAATGGTCCTCATCGAGCACAGTGCACAGCACTATTCTGTGGTCGCTGTGTGCGTGGGCACGAAAACGAAGGTTTCGACCGCCCCTGCCGACGTGGAGACGGCCACTCTACCGCCATCTTTTCTGTGCGTCATTCTTATTCAGATGCTGCTTCGGGGACCTTTTCTACTTTGTCGTCCGTGTCATCTATGGCAACAGATGAACGAGAACCCGGAGCTGTACAAGAAGTACATCAGAATTTGATTCCTACAGCTACTTTAAACGAAGAAAGGAAGAATAAATGTGCAGCTTGGCCAATCTGAGCACGCAATGTTTGCCAGTCTCGCCGATAAGAAAACACCATGCACGGTTGACCTCGTGTCTATTGGAGGTAAACATGCCTAGCCATGTTTGACGTCACCCCAATCCGAGAAAGAAACGCTTGTAGGCACCGACGCGCCAGACACATCCCTAATTTCAGCGGCTGAGTGCTCCATACACTCCGACGTTACGAGGTGTATGGGCGCAGGTGTTTCGTGAGGAGCAGAATCGAAGCCGAATGAGGAAAGACCATTGGTTCTTTCCGAAAGCCAGGCTCTTGACTTCTTTGAACAAGTAAGAAGACGCCATGGGAGCTCTTTACTGATGCGTCTCGACAATAAATATGTGATCAAGGTCGTTAGAGGCGGCTTCAACATTGACTCTGCAACCTTACTACTATCTGATTCATCAGAGAGCAGGTTCAGCCTCGGAGTCGACAGTAGCATCTGGCTCTCTCTTGGACTAGACGCGTGTGATGTGAAAATGCAAATCCCGCGAGATGTCAAGCATGCTCACAAGGCTGGCACCTGCTCGGACGGCACCCAGGATAGCCTCTCCGAGTCCCAGCAGCCTAAAAAACCCTGACCCTCTTCTAAAGGATCGAAACGTGTTGTGTAATGTGTGCACTACATGTCCTCCGGACAGATCCCCGGAGTGCCGAATGAACACACGACCACGTCAGTCACTCACAAACATATCAACATGGCTGACACCTTGAAAATCACTTCTTGAAATGATCAATGTTTCCGTAACTCAGTAAAGCAAGACGAAGTTAGCAGCATAGCACGCGCGGAACATTGTGATATTCCGTGTTTACAAAAAACAAACTTTTTTTTTACCATTGGCCACGTTGGTGCATTCAAACGTGCATTTAATTTAGACTGTTACTTTTCTTTCGTGACGTTTCGCTTCAGTGGAGTTGGAATTAATAAATTTAACCGTGCTCTTTTGCGCAGTCATCACGTTTTCTATAACCGGATAGGACGGGTATGGGCTTTTTACTGCGTCCCATTGTCCGTCAAACTCCGCGTTTAGTGTATCTATGGTCCAGCTCAAGAAGAATTGTCTAACAACTTTAACCGTGACCTGGACGTGTATTTTCTTGGTGGTTGGCATGTCATACTCGCTGAAGATTTTAATTGTACGTGTACTATGCACGTGAGCTGACGTGCAAGATCCAGGATGGGGTCGGTCTGACTGGAACGCACGGGAGCTGTGTCATCTAATCCAACATTTCTCTTTGATAGATGCGTAAAGATTAGTGCATGGATCGCAATATGCCTGGACTTGGCGGCGTAGCTCATCGTCAAGTCGGTTGGATTGTCTTTATGTATCATGCGTGCTAGCTTCCTACGTGTCGCGTTCCGATGTAGTAACGTTACCATCATCCCCTATTTATATATCTGACCAT